TAAATGGGGAAATGGTGACGCGCACTCTCGGGGGTTTGTGAGAACTGAGGACATAGGGGCGAGGCTCGACCCGCACCTTGCATTTGTACCGTCCACCAGCAATCGTCTGGCCCTTCACTGAGAGGGAAACGCCCTGAGAAAGCCAATTTCGCAGGTTCCTGATCCTCAAACGAGGGATCCCGCGGTGGGAGAAAGGTGCTGGCCCCTCAGCTTCGTTGTCCTCGGACCCACGCAATCCTTAGAGTTAATTTCAGGCCGATCAGCAACGCCGCAAGACCGCCCACCCGGAAGTCCGACCGACAAACCACAGGGCCTCTCCCCCAAGGCAGAGGCAAGATCCTTAGAGGACTGGGGGGAAGAAGGAGAGTGTAGGTAAAATTGAAATGGATCGATTTTTAAAAATAGATCAAAGCAAACCCGCCAGAATGAAAGGGATTAATATGAGGCCTTGGCTGAGAAGAGTCTTAAGATCTTGCTATATTAATATAAATATGGATCGTTCTGTTGGAAACCCCTTAACCTGGGTTGGAAAAACAGGTGGTGTCTTTGAATCAAAGCGTCTTGCATGACAGATCTTCCATGAAGGAGTGGGGGGTTACATTCTCGCGGATAAAGTTTCAATCAGCAGGCTGGGCACGGTGGTTCAGCCTGTAATCCCAGCACTTTGGGAGGCTGAGGGATTCTCCATGTTGGTCAGGCTGCTCTTTGTCGGGGTCCGGCACGTCTGCCGGGGGACTACCAACCAGCGGGAGTCCCCGAGACCGCCAATGTAGATGTCTCCTTCAACCTGAGAGAGAGAGTGCGCGGAAGAGAAAGAATATAAAAAAGTAGAGTCTGGAGGGCTGGGCAGCACAGCAACGGCCACAGTGACAGCCACAGCGATTTTATTCTTGTGGGTTACAGCTTTTATACCTTTTTCTTGTTACATTTACTTAATCTCAGTAGAAAGAAAAAAAAGGGGTAAACAGAAAGGAAATAGAAACTCCATAAAAAATAGTTATCAGGGGCTTGTGATATCCGCTCAGAAAGCAGTTTAAGGGGGCTTGTGATAGGAGTTTACATTTCAAATACATTTCAAATATACAATGGCGCCCTTAAGGTGGCTGGTTAAACCTGTTTTTCACCAGGAGCTAAAACAAAGGCTTGGCTCCAGGGAAAATATGGGCAGAGGTCTCTGCTCCTCTTAGGCATTGCAATTGCAGCAAGTTTATTGCTTACACAGAGACTGATGGGGACATGGAAGCAGACAGCTTAATGTCCTCATAAACTGCAGGCCTTTGCTTTGCATTCTGTTGTTGCTTTTAGTGACTCAGCTCGCGGCCCTTTGTCTCACTCGACAGCCCTCGAGGTGGGGAAATGCAGACAGGTCCAGCAGCCAAACTGGGGCGAGTCAACTAGCTGTCTCGAGCCCTTGGCGCGAACACTACAGCTCTTGAACTCCCGACTTTAGATAATGCGCCCGTCTTGGCCTCCCAAAGTGCTGGGATTACAGGCCTGAGCCACCAAGCCCAACCTTTTTTTTTTTTAATAAAGATGGAGTCTTGCAATGTTGGCCAGGCTGATCTCAAACTCTGGGCCTCAATCGATCACCCCTCACCCCTCCTCAACCTCCCCAGATGCTCAGATTACAGGCTTGATCCAGGGCACCTAGCTTTTTCTTTTCTTTTCTTTTTTGAAGAAGAGAATGTTACAAACTTGTTGAAAAATTCGCGCTTTGAATGAAGAGACCTTCCAAACAGGGTTCGTGTAAGCAACATGGCTGTTTATTCACCTGGGTGCAGGTGGGCTAAGGCCGAAAAGGGCATTAGCAAAGGGCAGGGGATAGGAGTTGGTTTTATAAGTTTGGGTAGTTTTTTGGGGTGTTGCAGAGTAAGTTCAGTTACAGTGGTGGGGGGTAGGGGCAAAGGAGTATACACGACCACAAGTTCAGTTACAATGGCAGGGTTGGGTGAGAGGTATTCACATTATCATAAGAACAGTTAAGACGGCAGGGTTGGGTGAGGGCTTGTCCCGGAAGCTCCGCTGGGTGATCAGGGTCAATGGCAAAGGCAGGCAGGGGGTGGGAGACATCAGCCGAGGCAAGCAGGGCTTCAGACTTTCAGGCTCCAGGCTTGCGAATGGAGACCTGACAAAACTTTTTTCTTTCTCTTTCTCTTTCTTTTTCTTTTCTTTTCTATTTTTTTAAAGACAGGGTTTCACCATGTTGGCCAGGCTGGTCTTGAACTTCTGACCTCGTGATCCACCTGCCTTGGCCTCCCAAAGTGCTGGGATTACAGGTATGCGCCACCACACCTGGCTCTTTCTTTTCTTATTGAGATAGTCTCACTCTGTCCCCCTGGCTGGAGTGCAGACGTTCAGTCTTGGCTCACTGCAACCTCTGGGTTCAAGCAATTCTCCTGCCTCAACCTCCAGAGTAACTAGGATTATGGGTGCACACCACCATGCCTGGCTAATTTTTGAATTTTTAGTAGAGACAGGGTTTCACCATGTTGGCCAGGCTGGTCTCGACCTCCTGACCCCAGGTGATCCACCTGCCTCAGCCTCCCAAGGTGGTAGGATTACAGGCTTCGGCCACCATGCCTGGCCTCATTTTTATTTTTTATTTCATTTTTTTGAGACAGGGTCTCACTGCAATCTCTGCCTCCTGGGTTCAATCGATTCTGCCTCCTCTGCCTCCTGAGTAGCTGGGACTAGAGGTGCCTGCCGCCATGCCTGGCTAATTTTTGTATTTTTAGTAGAGATGGGGTTTCACCATGTTGGCAAGGCTGGGTTTTTCATTTTTATTGCATCCTCCAACTCTTCTGAGAATTTGTTGAATGTTTTCCCCAAATCAATGCATATTTGCCTTACATGATTTTGCATACAATTTTTGGGGGGAATTCTTGGAGCCCCGCTGAAGCCCATTCAACTAATCTACACATTAACAACCACAGCTGCAGAGAGACAGGAGAACCTGACTGAAGGTGTCCAAATATCTAGAAAAAAGGCCACATCAATCTGGAAAGGGCTGGCCAGACATGAAAGAACAGGATCCTTGGGCCATTGTGGGCAGCCTGGTGAAGGGCTGACCAGGAGGACCTTTGGCTCCAGGACTTGATTGGCTATCCTGGGCCCAAATTCCCTCGTGGTTGTAAGAGTTAAACAAAGAGGGCCGGGCACAGTGGCTCACGCCTGTAATCCCAGCACTTTGGGAGGCCGAGGCGGGTGCATCGTGAGGAAAAGAGATCGAGACCATCCTGGTCAACATGGTGAAACCCCATCTCTACTCAAAATACAAAAAATTAGCTGGGCGTGGTGGCGCATGCCTGTAATCCCAGCTACTCGGGAGGCTGAGGCAGGAGAATTGCCTGAACCCAGGAGGCGGAGGTTGCGGTGAGCTGAGATCGCGCCATTGCACTCCAGCCTGGGTAACAAGAGCGAAACTCCGTCTCAAAAAAGAAAAGAGGAAGGCCAGGTGTGGTGGCTCACTCTTGTAATCCCAGCACTTTGGGAGGCTGAGGTGGGCAGGTCACGAGGTCAGGAGTTTGAGACCAGCCTGGCCAACATGATGAAACTCTGTCTCTACTAAAAATACAAAAATTAGCTAGGCATAGAGGCATGCACCTGCAATTCCAGCTACTCGGAAAGCTGAGGCAGGAGAATTGCCTGAACCCAGGAGGCAGAGGTTGAGGTGAGCCAAGATCCCAACACTGCACTCCAGCCTGGGAAAAGCGAGACTCCATCTCAAGGAAACAACAACAAAAAAAAAAACAAGGAAAGAAACAGGAAAGTCAGTTTAACAGTCAAAGACAGGTTTGTTTTAGAGAAATAAACCTGAGAGGCTGGCCAGTTTTGGTGAGGAGCATTCTCTCTTACAGACTGAGTAACGTATTGGTTTTAGGGTGAGGGGCCTTATCACTGCAAGGGTAGTTGAGAGAAAGAATAGACTCAAGGTCAGGCAAGAAAGTTTTGTTAACCTGCCGGGCTGCTCTGAAACAGAGGATGCAGTCCAGAGTTTACAAAACAAGGGGTTTATTTTTTTTGTTTATTATTTTTTTGAGACGGAGTTTCACTTGTTACCCAGGCTGGAGTGCAATGGCGCGATCTCAGCTCACCGCAACCTCCGCCTCCTGGGTTCAGGCAATTCTCCTGCCTCAGCCTCCCGAGTAGCTGGGATTACAGGCATGGGCCACTGTACCTGGCTATTAATTTTTTAAGGCAGAATTTCATTTTTGTTGCCCAGGATGGAGTGCAATGGTGCCATCTCAGCTCACAGCATCTGCCTCCCTGGTTCAAGCAATTCTCCTGCCTCAACCCTCTGAATAGCTGGGATTTCAGGTGGCAGATGCCTTTAATCCCAGGTGCTCGGGAGGCTGAGGCAGGAGAATCGCTTGAACCTGGGAGGTGAGGTTGCAGTGAGCCAAGATGGCGCCATTGCACCCCCACTTGGGCGGTTGAAACTTTGTCTCAAAAAAAAAAAAAAAGGAAAATATGACTGGCCAGGTGTGGTGGCTCACGCCTGTAATCCTAGCACTTTGGGAGGCCAAGGCGGATGGATCACGAAGTCAAGAGATTGAGACCATCCTGGTCAAGGTGAAACCCTATCTCTACTAAAAATACAAAAAAATTAGCTGGGTATGGTGGTGCCCGCCTGTAGTCCCAGCTACTTGGAAGGCTGAGGCAGAATTGCTTGAATCCAGGATGTGGAGGCCGCAGTGGGCCGAGGTTGCACCACTGCACTCCAGCCTGGCAATGAATGAAACTCCTGTCAAAAAACAAAAACACCCAAAAAAACCTGGCCAGATTCTGATGTCGGTCATCCCAGCACATTTGCAGGCAGAGGTGGGTGGACTGCTTGAACTAAGAGTTTGAGACCAGCCTGGGTAACATGGTGGCAGTCTACCAAAAATACAAAATTAGTTGGGCATGCTGGTATGCACTTGTGGTCCAAAATGGGAAACCCAGTTTCTCATGGAAATTTACACATCAGTAGTAGGAGATGCAAAAAACAAAACTAAACGTCAGGACTAAGTATTTTATTACTTTCACCAACAACCAATACAGTAACAGAAATGGAAACAGGACAGCAACTTGTTCACATTATGGTGCAGCTAAGACACCCAAACCCAGCAAGCTTTTCATTCAAGATTGCTTCAGTGGTGTACATCTAGGGAATAAGTCCCTTAAGTATGCTGATAAATTAAGCTCCTTGAATACTGCCTTGGGTTAGGAAATCCAGTATTAGGCAGATTGCCTAATGAAGCTGGGTAAAACCCAGTTAAAACAGCAAACTCAGGGCTTACTTCCTTGTGCCCAGGTAGACCCACCCAAAAATATGATTTACAGTAAGGCTTAAAAAATGAGCTGAAGACTAAAATGCCAGTATGCAAACTTCAATAGCCAAGTTGGCCAAGGACTTGGAAAATTCACCTTCTAATCTTCAAGACAGATTCCTGCAGAGGAAAAAAAAGTTACTGGATTGGAAAATACAAACAATTGAATATTTAACACCATGTAACTTAGGAGCTTATTAAAGGCTATTTTAAAACCAGTTAAATATTTAATCAGATACCTACCGCTTATATACCTTGTTCTTTCTCAGACCTGGAAAAAATAAAACCAATGTTTTCAGTAAGTGATGATTGCTTACTCCCTTTCTCTGCACAGAAATATTTATGGTCCCTCAGACAGTTCCTTGTGGAACAAAGCTTCCTCTTCTCCCCCAGCCAGTCCCAGTGGGTTCACCTTTACAGGCTCTGGGACTAGGACAGAGAGTAAGACATGTGAAAGTTTCTTCATTGGGAAATTTTAGCTTAGCCCACCTTACAGTTAGCTTTACTCACCTATAACTTCAGTTTGGAAGTGAGCAGAAACATCTAGTTTTCCTGCAAAAATCAAAAAAAGTTTCAAGAGACCTTCATTTTGCAACCTTTCCAGTGTATGTTGCTTGCCAGAAGGTTTCAGGGCACATTTTACACGAAACACTTAGGCCAAGAAACTTACTGGCTGTAAAGAAGGCCTCCTCAATTAACTCTAATTTTTTGAATGTCATTGCAAACCAGGCTCACAGCTCAGAAAACACCATTCAGTCACACTGATCAGACTGGGGCGGTATTCAACTCATCACTGGTGAGCAGGAACTCATTGGTAATTCAGGAATGATTAAAGACTTTGGGTTAGGCAAGTAATGCCTGCACACATTCCTCCAGAACACAGTGCTATCACACACAAAAATCACAGCCATTGATGGCAGCCATTGCAAAGGCATTTACCTGAAATTTCCCTTGTGCTGTAGAGAGAAGGTACGGGCCCTGAAGGGAGAAAGACCTAGTCAGTAGTGTCTCTGATACCCTGCACCAAGTTGTTCCCACTCAAGTTATCATTCCTGGAACATCAGATTTTAGAGTCTCAACAGCAAGTTATCAGCCGAACGAGATTCTATTTAAGTCATCACAGAGGCCTAAAAAGCCACTTTTTCCTGCTCTATATGCTGAATGAACTGAATACGGTGAAATTACTCACCCTTGAGCCCAAAAGCAGGTTATTGGTAATAGCACCTAGAGAAAAACAAGTCTGTGAGTGAAAGATTCCTCAGACATATGGTGACCCCTCACTCCCTTGCATTCTCAAGTTTCTCAGGTGTTCATGTGTTTTCACTGTCAGTCATAGTGAGCTAGTTTGATTCATCACAGAAACTGCCTACTTGGTGGTATAAGCTGCAAGTAACAACAACAAAAAAAATCAACTAACCTCTCAGATTCGAAGGCTTTTCAATGGTAAATAGAACAAACTGCTCCTGAATTAAAAAAAAAAAAAAAAAAAAATCAATTAGCTAATTATCCCAGAACAGCTAAAACTATTTTAGTTATGGTTGCTAGGGACAAGCTAAGAAAAGGTAACCTAATTTCCCAAACAGTTCCTTACGGAATAAGCTTTCATGCTCTCTTCCAGTTAACACTGGTGGGTTCACAATGATTTGTTCCCAGGCTTTAACAGGGGGTAAGGCTGAACACTGGAGAAAGCTACAACTGACAAGCATTTGTCTGATCCTGGGCGGATCAGTGGGTATCTGAGAGAAAAAAGGGGAGGCTTTGAAACATCACTACAGAGAACAAGAGAAACCAGCAAACTTTAAGGGTTAAGCAGACTTTGGAAACAAGTATCAAGATGGCCAAGTTGGATAATGGACCCATACAATTGGAAAGCAACTTACTATAAGATAGAAGCAGACTGTCAGCAGGACTACCTGGAAAGGAGAGCAAATTAGTTATTTTAAGGGATCAGGATGGAATGAAGCTTCCTTATAAGCAACAACTGCCATCAGAACTCTAACATGCTATTAACTTTTGTACCTCACAGAACATCAGCTCATCAATTCAAATCATCTGACAGTAATGCGACATGTGGATGAGGGAGACATCGCACCCTTAACAAGTACTGTAGCACTGGGCTGCCTTCTCCCTCCCCACAAAATCATTTTAAGAGGAACAAGATGAAAGGCGACAAAGAGCAGTATTGCTTTCGCCGCCCACTTTCCTCTTAGGAACATTTAGAGATGACATCCCCCAATGAATTTGGATAATTACCTCTTTTCACCCTGGGAAGCATTTGAATTCCTCAGGATAGACTGTGAGATGCTGCAACAGAGGAAGGCATTTTATGAACCTAAAAATGGCCACTCAAAAACACCGTTAAGACCTCTGGCCCACTTCTCAGTAGTAAGATGACATCACTTTTAAGTTCAGTCATATGCTTGTCATTTTCTGTTCATCACGGAGTGGTTGTCTAGCGAAGTGTCCTCCGTAATAGCATAAACCAGGTAAACCTACCTGGAGCATTACTGTAACGTTGGCTTTGCCGAAAGATGGGTCTTGTCCCATTTCTTCACCAGTAAGCTCTTGTGGGCTCAACACCTGAAAAATAACACCCTTCACTAACACCTCAGCATGAATTCAGTAGGCCCCTGACGTTTGTTGCTTAAACTACATTGCTACTCAGAAATGTGTTTTCTCCACTGAGCCATCAGAAAGAGAGAGTTCAGTTAGTGAAATCATCCCCGTAGCGACTTCCACACACAATTCAAGAGCCGTTATTAAGAAATGGCCATAAAAACTTACTGTAACAATAGAATTCTTTTCGACTCAAACGTGCGCGTAAACCCTGCAAAGAGCCCAAGACGACATTACGTCAGCACGGGGTATTTCGAAAACGCTATTTTCTGAAGCGACGGCTAAGTAGGAGGTTTGCACGGCCCGTGTCCTCAGAGTTACTTATCCTCACGAAACTCAGTACAGGTCTGTGAAAAGTTCCTCATCATAGAGAGGGCCACCTGCACGGCCCGCCATCGCCATTTTGTCCTTCATAAAGGCCCGATGCTGCTTTGAAGCCTCGAGGCCATGCCCAAGACCTCAACCGCCCGTCATCCTGGCCAGACAGCTACACCACAGAAGGTATTGCGCGTGCTATGCTGTGTTCGCACAACGTACAAAAAACAAAAACACCAATAACAAAAAACACTAAACACTCACCTAACCAAGTGGAGCAATGAGACAGATAGGAGCGCCGAGAGACGCCTAAATATCTTCCCGCAGAGGCCCACGGGATTTGTGGGTGGGACTATGGAAGCGCACGCGCATACATTGACCGCCTGCGACCCCGGGGAGTTGTGGGTAGAGAGATCCGGGGCAGGGGGGCGTAGACAAAGCGCTACCTGAACCTGTGGCGCGAAAAAGGCGCGCATGCGCCCTACGGAAGCGCGCTCGCTCATCTACCGCATTGCGGCTTAGCCTTCTCTCCCAGTGCACGTGGCAGGAGCGGTGAGATCACTGCTTCACTCCGATCCTGGACTGCCGGTCGGATCTGAGCACCTTGTTCTGAGGTCCCCTTTGCCCACACACACCTTAAGCCCGTGTGCAGGATCCGCCTCCATGGAACCACAGCCTCCTGAAGCCTTGACCAACGTCGTCTCGGTTCCGCGCCAGCAGCCCAGCTCACATTCGGCGGCTGGTGTCCAGGCTCTCAGCGCGGGGGACGACTCAGGTACTGGATCCCGAGCTAAGCTCGGGTGGAGGTCCACTTTCGTGGAGCCATTTCGGGAGAGTAAGTCAGGGCGTAAGTGCTCCACTGAAGACAGGATCTGATTTTTTCCCAACTGGCCCCCGATGTCCTGCATTCTGTTGAGTTTTCTTTAGATCTTGGACTACAGCGGGCCAACATTCCTAACATTTGTGCAACACCTTTTTTTTGTTTTTGTTTTGAGACGGAGTCTCGCTCTGTTTCCCAGTCTGGAATGCAGTGGCGCGATCTCGACTCTCTGCAACCTTCGCTTCCCGGGTTCAAGCGATTCTCCCACTTAAGCCTCCCGAGAAGCTTGGACTACAGGCGCATGCCACCACGCCCGTCTAATTTTTGGTAGTTTTAGTAGAGATGGGGTTTCACCGTGTTAGCCATGCTGGGCTCCATCTTCTAACTCGTGATGCGCCCACCTCGGCCTCCCACAGTGTTGGGATTACAGGCGTGAGCCACTGCGCTGGGCCGTTGGTTCCCCTTTTTAAGCAAACTATATGAATCTGTTAATCCACAAAATCTTGAGCTAGGTGGGATGACAACCCCCATTTTATAGAAGCCGAACCTTAAAGAGCTGCGGCAGTGCTGCCTGCTACACCTCCTGTCTGATCAGAGTGGTTGCAGTCAGCTATAGACTGTTGTTATAGAGACCGGACAGCATTAGTTCAGTCGTTTGTGGTAAACATCTACGTGTACAAGCACACTTTATAAACATGTTTTTCCTCCCGAGACGGAGTCTCCCTCTGCCACCCAGGCTGGAGTGCAGTGGAGCGATCTCGGTTCACTGCATCCTCCGCCTCCCAGGTTCAAGCGTTTCTTCTGCCTCAGTCTCCTGAGTAGCTGGGATAACAGGCGCCCGCCATCATGCCTGGCTAATTTTTGTATTTTTAGTGGAGCCGGGATTTCACCCTGTTGGCCAGGCTGGTCTCGGTCTCCTGACCTCAGGTGATCTGCCCGCCTCGGCCTTCCAAAGTGCTGGGATTACAGGCGTGAACCCCCGCTCCCGGCCCTGAATATTTTATTTTTAAACTTGTGGAGATGGAGTCTCATTATGTTAGCCAGGCTGTGCTTTACTACTTTTACATCACTCAGTTGTGTTCTCAAGATAGTTGGGGGGTGGGGGCAAGCAAATACACAGGAAACAAACGGAATAATTGGGCACTGTTTCTCATCTCTCACCTGGCCCAATTTTCACTCTATTGGGGACACTTCCCATGCATACCCCAGGGGAACATTGACACTGTGCATAAATGCTGAGGGAACTGCAGTTTGAAGGAAGTTATTTTAGACTGGAATAAGTTTATTCACTAATCACTAAGTGCTTGGTCTGTGCATGATAAAACATATGGGGGAAAGATAAGACGCTCTGCCCTCTAGGAGATTTTCATCTGTTGGGAAATTAAGATTTGAGTACATAGGCCGGGCGCGGTGGCTCAAGTCTGTAATCCCAGCACTTTGGGAGGCCGAGGCGGGTGGATCACGAGGTCAAGAAATCGAGACTATCCTGGTCAACATGGTGAAACCCCGTCTCTACTAAAAATACAAAAAATTAGCTGGGTATGGTGGTGCGTGCCTGTAATCCCAGCTACTCAGGAGGCCGAGGCAGGAGAATTGCCTGAACCAAGGAGGCGGAGGTTGCGGTGAGCCAAGATCGCGCCATTGTACTCCAGCCTGGGTAACAAGAGCGAAACTCGGTCTCAAAAAAAAAAAAAAAAAAAAAAAAAAAGATTTGAGTACAAGTAGCCTAAGTCCAGGACTGAAAAGTTGTAGCAAAATAGACAGAAAATGAGATAGGCCTGGTGTTTGGCTCAGCACTTTGTTTTTTTTTTTTTTTTTTTTTTTTTTTTAGATGGAGTTTCGCTCTTGTCTCCCAGGCTGGAGGGCAATCGCGCAATCTCAGCGCACTGCAGTCTCCAGCCCCCTGAGTTCAAGCAGTTCTCCTGCCTCGGCCTTCTGAGTAGCTGAGATTACAGGCGCCCACCACCACACCCAGCTAATTTTTTCTTTTTAAGTAGAGACAGGGTTTTACCATTTGGCCAGTCTGGAACTCCTGACCTCAGGTGATCCTCCCACCTTTTCCTCCCGAAGTGCTGGGATTACTGGTGTGAGCCACCATGCCCAGCCTGGATCAGCATTTTGGGAGGCAAGGCTGGAGGATCTCTTGAGCCCAAGAGTTTAAGACCAGCCTAAGCAACATAGTGAAAAACTCATCTCTACGAAGAAAAAAAAGAAAAGAAAAAATTAGCCAGGGGTGGTGGTGTGTGTTTGTAGCCGCAGCTACCTGGGAGGCTAAGGTGGGAGGACTACTTGAGCCCAGGAGGTTGAGGCTGCAAGTGAGCTGTGATCAAGCTACTGCACTGCACTCCAGCTTGGACTGAGTGAGACCTTGTGTCAAAAAACAAAAGACAAAGTGGGACAGATAAACTATGGGAAATCAAGATGGCCCAGAGTGGACAGACAAGGCTGGGGAGGTTTTGTGTGGGAAGGGCAGTTGGGAAATGCTTTATAGAGTGTGTGAGCCTGAAAGGGTAGATAGACAGACTTGGGAGGGGAATTCCAGTTAAAGACACACTTTGAGCACAGGCTTGGTGCTAGGAAAAAAAGGAAGTGTATGGATATAATTCATGAAAGCTGGGCAAAACGGGAGTACTAGAATATAAAGCTGGAAGCTATTTCCTGGGGAAAGCCAGAGAAGCAGGACCTTGAATGCAAAGCTAAATCATTTGAATTATTGACAGAAAAAAACCAGGGACAGTTTTTTAAGTAGGAAGGTGAGAAAACAATGGAGGAATAAGATGGAGACAAGGAGATAAATTAGATTGCCATAGTAGCTTAGGCAAGAAGATTCAATACTAACAAGTGTAATGGCAGTGGAAATGGAAAAGAGGGGATTTCGATCAGGGGTCTCCAACTCACAGAAATCAGGTAAGTAATGTGGGTAAGGGAAGCGAACTGAGTTGGGACTCTGGTGAACTGGGCAAGTCCTTTCACAGCTCCAGCTGATTGTTGCTTTGTGACCATATTGTCTCTGTGTGATCAGATAGTCACAGTTTTCGAGAGAATCCAGAAGTCCATAATAGTGTGTTTACCCATTTGAATTTAAAATTTTTGGCTGGGCGTTGGTGGCTCACACCTGTAATCCTGGCACTTTGGGAGGCTGAAGTGGGTGGGTCACCTGAGGTCAGGAGACCAGCCTGGTCAACGTGGTGAAACCCCATCTCTAAGAAAAATACAAAAATTAGCGAGGCCTGGTGGTGGGGTTTGTAATCCCAGCAATTTAGGAGGCTGAGGCAGGAGAAGCAATTGAACCCAGGAGGCGGAAGTTACAGTGACCAGAGATCAGGCCACTGCACTCTAGCCTGGGCGACAAGATCGAGTCTCAAAAACAAACAAATAAGAAAACCCAAATATGCCTGTGGGCCAAAGGTGACCCATGATTAAGTTTGCAACCTTTGTGTGTGACCTAGAATTCACTAGAAAAGAGGGCATTAAAAAAAAAAAAGTAGGCCGGATATGGTGGCTCAGGCCTGTAATCCCAGCAGTTTGGGAGGCTGAGGCAGGTGGATCACCTGAGCTCAGGAGTTCAAGACCCGCCAGGGCAATATGGTGAAAACCCTGTCTCTACTAAAAATACAAAAATTAGCCCGACATGATGGCGTGTGCCTGTAATCCCATCTACTCAGGAGGCTGAGGCATGAGAATTGCTTGAACCCTGGAGGTGGAAGTTGCATTGAGCTGAGATTGTGCCATTGCACTCCACCCTGGGCAACAAACAGAGTGAGACTCTGTCTCAAAAAAAAAAAATTCCTGCTTGTGACAGGGCCAGTGGCTCACATCTGTAATCCCAGCACTTTGGGAGGCCAAGGGGAGAGGCTCCCTTGAGGCCAGAGGTTTGAGACCAGTCTGGGCAACATAGTAAGATGAAACCCCCATCTCTACAGGAAAAAAAAGCCCTGCCTCCCTATCACCATTCCTTCCCCAAGCCTAATCCGCCACTTGCCACCCACAGTAAACGCCCTGGGGTTTGATTTATCTGGGCAAATCATCCTATCATCTCTATCGTCTAGCAGAATACAGTTTACAAATAGGACTCAATATACACTTATTAGTTATCTACACAAATTTTTTTTTCAGTTTGCTTCTTTATGTTGGGAAGGCTGTAAATTTTTAAATGATCTTTTCCCAGCAAATTCATTTACTGTCCTACCTTACCAAATAATTTTGCTCTTAGAGAGGGCTGGAAAGTTTGTTCAAAGAGCAACCCTGCCCCCACCTGGCATAGGAGACGGATATGCAAATTCTCTCCCAGTGCTTGGCAGGGAACTGGGAGACTAAGTCAGGACCATGGAGAAAAGGTTCAAGTTCAGTTTCTTTTCCTTTCTTTCTTTCTTTCTCTCTATCTCTTTCTTTCTTTCTTTCTTTTTTTTTTTTTTTTGAGACAAAGTCTCACTCTGTCACCCAGGCTGGAGTACAGTGGTGTGATCTCAGCTCACTGAAACCTCTGCCTCCCAAGCTCAAGCGATTCTCTTGCCTCTGCTTCCTGAGTAGCAGGCACCTGCCATCACATCTAGCTACTTTTCATATTTTTAGTAGAGACGGGGTTTTGCTATATTGGCCTGGATGGTCTTGAACTCCTGACCTCAAGTGATCCTCTAGCCTCGGCTTCCCGAAGTGCTGGGATTACAGGTGGGCCTCAATTTCTTTTCTTTCTTTTTTTTTTTTTTGAGACGGAGTTTTGCTCTTATTACCCAGGCTGGAGTGCAATGGCGCGATCTTGGCTCATGGCAACCTCCACCTCCTGGGTTCAAGCAATTCTCCTGCCTCAGCCTCCTGAGTAGCTGGGATTACAGGCACGCACCACCATGCCCAGCTAATTTTTTGTATTTTTAATAGAGACGGGGTTTCACCATGTTGACCAGGATGGTCTTGATCTCTTGACCTCGTGATCCACCCACCTTGGCCTCCCAAAGTGCTGGGATGACAGGCTTGAGCCACCGAATTTCTTTTCTTTTTAAACCAGGGTCTCACTCTGTCATCTAGGCTGGCGTGTAGTATGTGATCATGGCTCACTGCAGCATTGAAATCCTGGGCTCAGAGGATCCTCTCACCTCAGCCTCCTGAGTAGTTGGGACTATAGGTATGTGCCACCACACCCAGCTAATTCTTTAATTTTTTTGGTGTGTGACAGTGTCTCATTATGGTGCCCAGGCTGGTCTCCAGCTTCTGGGCTCAAGCAACCAAAGTGCTGGGAAACACGTATGAGCCACTGTATCCGGCCCAAAAGAAATCGAATAGAACTTCCTGGGTTGTGGAAGAGTGTGACATTGAGGTGGTCTTCCAGGCAAGAGGTGCTTTTACAACCGTGGTAGGTAACTTGGGTGTTTGGGCTACCTGCTCTTGCAATCTACTAATGTTTTCTGCTTCTGCTTTCAGCTTCATCCTGGTATACCATTTCCATCTTTATGTCTGACTAAAGGATCTGCCTGACTCTATGACTTGATGGGTTTGACAAAACCGAATCCCTAATGGGGCAGTTCTGGATGCTAGTCAAGCTTTCCAGTAACAACCCGGTGCTGTTTCTCAAAAGGCATCTACTTCTCTGCTTCAGATAGCTTGGCCTTGCTCCAGAATCTCAGGGACTTGCGTTGTGCTTTTGCCAGAGGCGCTTGCCTTAAGTTCTACAATGCATTTTTTTTGTTTTTTCAAACTGTATCCAGCTTTATTAAAGATACTTTCCATAAACAATCATGGTATTTCAGGCAGGACATGGGCAGACAATCATTAACAGCATAAAACAACTTTCAAACTCCCTTCTTTGATGGACTACCAAAAATCAGAAAGCCACTATAAAACTCAATGAAGTCTTCATCCGATGCTCTGAACAGGAGTTTAGAGTGAGGGTTGACATTTCACATTTAGCATGTTGTTTAGCAGCTTTTCACTTGCTGACCCTGACTTTCAGGAAGTGAAATGAAAATGGCAGAATTTATCTGAAGATCCGCAATCTAGAAATGGAACCACTGCTCCTTTGACAGGTGCCATCTCAGTGGCATCACTGGCAAGACCAGATTGCCTGACACACTGGTAACCAGTGACTGGGGGTCAGGTCCCAACAGATGCCTGGACTTAAGGGAGTTAAGTCTATGCTGAAAGACGGAAAGGGAGAAGAGGACATAAAAATGAATTTGTTTTTCCATACCACAAGGCTTTTTTGTGCCAAGCTGGCCATGTGTGTCAAAGTCAGGGAATCCCTCCTGGGAGCCAAGAGGAAGTCCCTCAAAACTAGAAGGGAAAGTCATTTCCCCACATCAATCCAGCTTTGGAGACATTCTATTAGTGACATATGTCCCATCTCCCAAAACAACAATGAAGTGTTCTGTGTGCTAACAACATAGCTTAAAAAAAAAAAGTCAATCAAAATTCTGCATTTTAATAAAACTTGATAAAAAATAGTATTTCAAACTGTACAGTCACTAGAAGTACACAGTTATCAAAAATGCACACACTTCACTTGGCGTCTCCAGCACCTTCGGCTTTCTGTACCTGGTCTGTGTTGGCATCTCCCTTTTCTGCAAGGTTATTCCCTTCCTTGCCAGCATCAGCTTTTCCCTTTTTCCCTTTCGGTACCTTCTCTCCCTTCTTTGCAGGGGCCTTTTTAGGCTTGGGCTCTGGCTTTGGAGGAGCAGGATTAGCAGACAAGCTCACGGATCTTCTCTGTGGTGCGTCCTTCACCTTGGCTTTACCTCCTTTAGCATCCCCTTCAGCCTTTCTCTTGGGCATGGTGGCGATGGCGGCGGGATGTAGGCACTGGGCGCGGGATGCAGCGGCACGTGGGCTTCGGTCGGTCCGGGGGTTGTTCTCGCCTCCTCTTCTTGACACTGTTCCACTGCATCTTTTTTTTTTTAAACTGCTGATACTGTCAACCCCCCAAGATCTGCTGGATTGCATGGTTTAAGTGGTAGGGCCCTTTTACTGCTCAAGAGTTTGAATCAAAATTGGCAGCTCACCCAGTATGTGGGCAGGAGATATTTCTAGGTATGGATGTGATAGACACCACACCCATGCATCCTTTGTTCCTGTAATGGTAGCACTGATCTGTCCCTCCCCAGGATGTGATAGTGCTTTTGATTTACTATCAGGGCTGAAGAGAGGGGTAGTTTTAGAGATACCTTTGTCTCACTATGCTAGCTCTTACCTCTTAGGCCTAGGACCCAGTATGATTACTTCAACTCCGAAATATATCCTGTTAAATACTTGTTTGTTTGTTTTTTGAGATGGAGTCTTGCTCCGTTTGGCCAGGCTAAAGTGCAGTGGTGTGATCTCAGCTCACTGCAACCTCTGCTTCCTGGGTTCAAGTGATTCTCCTGCCTCAGACTCCCTAGTAGCTGGGATTACAGGCATGCGCCACCACGCCCAGCTCATTTTTGTATTTTTAGTAGAGACGGGTTTCACCATGTATGCCAGAGTGGTCTCGATTTCTTGACCTTGTGATTCCCCCCCACCCCCACGCCTCGGCCTCCCAAAGTGCTGGGATTACAGGTGTGAGCAGCCGTGCCCAGCCTTTAAAATTTTTTTTTTGAGATGGAGTGAGCTGGCTTGCAGTTGTGCCATCTGGGCGCACTGCAATTTCCACCTCCCGAGTTCTTGGGCCTCAACCTCCCAAGCAGCTGAGACTCTAGGTGTGCACCACCATGCCGGGCTAGTTTTTTTTTTTGTTTTGTTTTGAGACAGAGTCCCACTGTGTTGCCCAGGCTGGAGTGCAGTGGTATGATCAAGGATCACTGCAACATCTGCCTCCCAGGTTCAAGCAACTCTCCTGCCTCAGTCTCCAACCCCCGCCCCCATTTAAACACTTAGAACTGAGGAAACGACTAGTGATGGGTCCATGGACAAGCAGACTTACAGTGAGCTCTGTTTTGGTTAGGACTTGAGTTACTGCCTGACACCTGTAAGTCCCCAGGCTAAAAAGCATCATGATGATGCTTTGGGTTTTCAGGTCTCATTGTCAGCTGAGATCTTGTGCCCCAAATCCTGAGTGTCTAGGCATTTCCCTTTACCCAGCGTACAGTTATATATATGAGTAGGTGATATGTTGACATTCTCGAGGTACTCACTTTTAGGAGGAACTGGGGGAATTGTTCAAAGAGCAACCCTGCCCCCATCTGGCAGCAAGAGGGACTGCCTCAATAGAGGAGGAGGATATGCAAATTCCCTCCCAGTTTTAGCATCCTTCCTAGGGATTTGGGCACTTCTTCAGTAATTGAGTTTTGGGTATGAAAGTTGGCTCAGCTGGGCATGGTGGCTCACACCTGTAATCCTGGCACTTTAGGAGATGTGGGTAGATCACTTGAGGTCAGGAGTTTGAGACCTGGCCTCAACATGGTGAAAAAATTAGCTGGGCGTGCACCTGTAATCCCAGCTACTGGGGAGGCTGAGCAGGAGAGGCACTTGAACCCTGGAGGTGGAGGAGGTTGCAGCAGGACTAGACTGCGCCACTGCATTCCAGCCTAGGCAACAGAGCAAGATTCTGTCTTAAAAAAAAAAAAAAAAAGTTGGCTCAGATCGAGGAGTGAATTAAAGATTTTGACTGTTGTGGTGATTGCCCTTAGCTGCCCCTTCCCTTCCTCCTCTCTTCTTTTCTTGCCTTTTTTTTTTTGGTTGTAGATGTGTAGTAGCATCCTTTTTGGCTGTCCACATATTTTTCCTCTAAGGATGCCATGCTCCATGTATCCACACTGTGTGGGTCAGAGTCCCATGGCTACCAACATTGCCAGTTTTATGGTAGTTGCCTATTTCTGGCTTTTGGCAGCTAAGCAGTGCTACCTGGCCTCTGTTAAGTGGTGGGAGGTACTTCCCCATGTATCTTGAGTACCGTGTATCTTGAGTAGCTCAGCTCTGTGACTACTTCTGTCATCAGCTGTGGATTACACAGGAGCTACCACTGAATTTCTAAGCAGTGCTGATGCCTACTGACATCACTAGTGCATTCCTGATGGTCTTGTAAATGTTATGTCCTTTGGGGCCTTTCTTGGAACACCATTCTCTCTGGTCTTACATACTAACAGTACAGTATGTCTATTCCAGCATGCCCATTTTCTTCAGCACTTTTATTTATTTATTTTTTTTTTTGAGACGGTGTTTCGCTCTTGTTACCCAGGCTGGAATGCAATGGTGCGATCTCGGCTCACCGCAACCTCCGCCTCCTGGGTTCAAGCAATTCTCCTGCCTCAGCCTCCCGAGTAGCTGGGATTACAGGCATGCGCCACCATGCCCAGCTAATTTTTTTGTATTTTTAGTAGAGACGGGGTTTCACCATGTTGACCAGGATGGTCTGGATCTCTTGACCTCGTGATCCACCCGCCTTGGCCTCCCAAAGTGTTGGGATTACAGGCTTGAGCCACCGCGCCAGCCAGCCACTTTTTTTTTTATTGAGATGGAGTTTTGCTCTTTTCACCCGGGCTGGAGTGCAATGGTGTGATCTCAGCTCATTGCAACCTCTGCCTCCAGGGTTCAAGAGATTCTCCTGCCTCAGCCTCCTGAGTAGCTGGAATTATAGACAAAAATTACAGCTAATTTTTGTATTTTTAGTAGAGACAGGGTTTCACTATATTGTCCAGGCTGGTCTCAAACTCCTGACCTCAGGTGATCGCCCTCCCCAGCCTCCCAACGTGCTGGGATTACAGGGTGAGCCACCACATCCGACCGTGCTTTTTTTTTTTTGTCTCTGAGCAAGAGCAGTATCTGTTCTTATCCTCTAACATCTCATCAGTTCTCAGTTCTCTACGTGAGGGAACTTTGTCAGGTGGAGTTTTGGAACAAGGAGATTGAATAAAAGCTTGCTCATCGCTTTTACAAGTCAGTATAGTATTTCAGTAGCACCATGAATGCTGTGGTTCTCCCTTTTGGGGTAGATGTCAGTTAAAATGCAGACTGTTGCATTCCACCGTATCTTTCGGTTTCTGGAAAAAACTAGGGTGAATTTGCTATTTCCCTTTTTTCTTTCAATTTAATTGAATTTTAAAAATTCGGGCTGGGCGCAGTGGCTCACGCCTGTAATCCCAGCACTTTGGGAGGCTGAGGCAGGTGGATCACGAGGTCAAGAGATCGAGACCATCCTGGTCAATAAGGTGAAACCCCGTCTCTACTAGAAATATAAAAATTAGCTGGGCATGGTGGCGTGGCCTGTAGTCCCAGCTACTCGGGAGGTTGAGATAGGAGAATTGCTTGAACCCAGGAAGCGGAGGTTGCGGTGAGCCGAGATCGCACCATTGCACTCCAGCCTGGGTAACAAGAGCGAGACTCCATCTCAAAAAAAAATTAAGACAGTTGTTTCACCGTGTTGCTCAGGCTGGTCTCAAACTCCTGGCCACAATTCTCCCACCCCAGCCTTTCAAGGTGCTGGGATTATAGACATGAGCCACCATGTCTGGCCCCTTTTTTCTTTAACATTATGTTTTTGACACATTTTGCATATCTTTTACGTCTTGGTTCTTTTAGATTTAGTCATTTCTAGCATTCTAGTTAGAAATTTTCTACAAATTATTTTTCAAACAACAATTTTCTTTTGTGACTGACTTACTTTTTTTTTTTTTTTTTTTTTTGAGATGGAGTTTCGCTCTTGTTACCCAGGCTGGAGTGCAATGGCACGATCTCGGCTCACCGCAACCTCCGCCTCCTGGGTTCAGGCAATTCTCCTGCCTCAGCCTCCTCAGTAGCTGGGATTATAGGCACACGCCACCATGCCCAGCTAATTTTTTGTATTTTTAGTAGAGATGAGGTTTCACCATGTTGACCACGATGGTCTCGATCTCTTGACCTCGTGATCTACCCACCTCGGCCTCCCAAAGTCCTGGGATTACAGGCTTGAGCCACTGCGCCCGGCCGATCATCTTACTTTTGTCGTCCAGGCTGATGTGTTCACCTCGGCCTCGGCCTCCCAGACTGCTGGGATTATAGGCATGAGCCATTGTGCCCGGCCCTGATTTTTGTATTTTTAGCAGAGACACGGTTTCACCTTGTTGGCCAGGCTGGTCTCGAACTCCTGACCTCAAGTTATCCATCCACTTTGTCCCCCCAAAGTGCTGGGATTATAGGTGTGAGCCACCACGCCCAGCCTGAATTGGCTATTTTTTTATTTTTGTGTTTTTATTTATTTTTGAGTTGGAGTCTCGCTCTGTGACCAGGCTGGAGTGCAGTGGCAGAATCTCGGCTCACTGCAACCTCTGCCTTCCAGGTTCAAGCAATTGCTTGCCTTAGCCTCCTGAGTAGATGGGATTACAGGTGCCCACCTCCATGCCTGGCTAATTTTTGTATTTTTAGTAGAGACAGGGTTTTCACCATCTTGGCCGCTGGTCTTGAACTCCTGACCTCATGATTCACCTGCCTAGGTCTCCCAAAGTGCTGGGATTACAAGCTTAAGCCACTGTGTCCTGCAATTTTGTGATCTTCGCTCACCACAGCCTCTGCCTCCTGGATTCATGTGATTTTCCTGCGTCAGTCTCCCAAGTAGCTGGGATTATGGGCATGCGCCACCATGCCTGGCTAATTTTGTATTTTTTGTAGAGACATGGTTTTTCCATGTTGGTCAGGCTGGTCTCGGACACCCGACCTCAGATGATCCACCCATCTCAGCATCCCAAAGTGTTGGGATTACAGGCGTGAGCCACAGTGTTGGGCCCTATTTCTATTCTGTAATTAGAATAGAATTTCTATTCTGTGATTTTTTTTGTCCTTGCTGAATTATTGGGCTTTTTCTTAGTGATTTTTAGTTGTAATTTATGTTTCATCTACTTGGTTGTATTAGTTTCAGATACTATGCCTTCTATTTGTGGCTCATCTTTTTAATTTGTTATGGCAAGTTGTGATGCATAATTTTTTCTCTTTTTATGTTG